TTAAGGAGATTATAGAAGTGTTTTTGCGCAGAACTTCCGCCAATAATTTTCCTTCTTTAATGCCAAATCTATTACCATTAAAACTCAAAGTATTCAAAGAGGTATTTTGATGAAGAACAATTGCAAGTGCTTTCAGACCTTCAAAACTGAATTGATTATGACTAAGATCTAAGGAGGTCAGTGTGGTATTTTTATAAAGAACGTCTGAAAAAGCTTTTACTCCTTCATCACCAAGGTTATTATTAGAAATTTCTAAAGAAGATAACGTTGTGTTTTTGCAAAGTACTTCTGTCAGTAATTTTACTTCATTAGAACCGATTCCGCACATATTTAGTTTTAATGAGGTTAGGCAGATATTTATACAAAGAACATCGGATAGTGCTTTTATTTCTTCAAAATTAAGCTTAAATTGTGAAAGATCTAAAGAAGTGATAGTAGTGTTTTTATTAAGAATTTCTACTAATATTTTTGTAAATTCGGTTTTATTGTCGATTCCATTTAAATGTAAATACTTAATTTTTTTACTTGTTCGTAATAGCATTGCAATTAATGAACGTTTAATTAATTGAATCTCATTCTTTGAATTTAGATATTCTTTACTAAATTTAACGATTTTAGGTTCATATCCATCACGGCAAAACCAATATACAATTCCTCTTTCTAAATTACGGGAGTTAACGGATATGGTATAAGACGCGTATTCAAATAATAATTTTGGACCATTTGGAAATAATATATTTAATGGAATTAATGGTGCCTTTTCTTTTTCATTCAATGATAAAAGGTATATTCTCATAAGTTTTTTATTATTACAACGCATTAATGGTTCGCTCCATAATATTGGAACAATAATTCTACACCATTGACGATTTACCAGAAGGCATGAAAATAAGAATCTATAATAATTTCTAAGGTTAATAAATATTTCATAAAGGCATTCGTTTGGTAAGGATATCATTTTGGATAAGTTAAGATCGAAACTGTGCAGACTGTTCAACGAATTTACGTAAAAAAAAATTTTTTTGATACAAAATAATTGATTGTCCGCATGCATGTCTGTATTTATCGTACGTTCGTACATGCGAGTACGTACGAATCAACTAATTATCAGATGCGGTCAAAAAAATTTTGGGATTTATGTAACCCGCCCAATTTACGCCCGAAATCACCAAATCTTGGCGAATTTTACCAATTTTGCTATAATATTAGCCACCCTAGCGCCTAGCGTCGCCCAAAAAATCAGTTACGTATCGGAATTTAAAATTAAACATTGGTACTTAATAACATCGATAAATATATACGTATATGGATAAGGAATTTATATATAAACTCGTTTTTGGGGGTTGATTTTATCATATGTACACCCTAAACCTAACCCTAATTTAACTAGGAAATCCCAATTCCACTTAAATTCCATTTCCACCTACAATACCTACAAGATATATATTCAATGAAGTAATACACAAATTGCATTTTAATTGATTTTTAAAACTATCGGCAAGAATAAATAATTATCAGTTTTCTATAGTCAGCGAAATAAATGGCGAAATTATTGTCGAGACTATTTGAATTTTTAAATACATTAATTTAATTATTGTGAAAATTCATATAAAAAATACGGCAACGGCAAAATTTTTTGCAAAATTACTTTTATTCAAAAATAATTTGTATTATCCTTCTCGAAGTTTTTTTTTTAATAAGCCAATCGCGTTTAAACAATAACTATTTTCTTCGTTGAGAAAAGTTTCAAATTTTTAATAAACGTTATCACTTATAAATTAGTTTTATTATTAATATAATGTTTTTTAAGGACCAATCGTACTTTTATATTGAACTATTAGGAAATTTTAAAATTCTAAATTAGTTATATCCAGAGTTCGTACATAGAGATTCATTATATCCAAAGTCGATTGTATAAATATAATAAAATAAATAAATAGTATCTTCACTGGTATCCTTTTAATTCAATAGCTTTATCATTTGTAACCTCAACAACACTAGCACTTGTTCGTCCATACTTAAATCTAAATGTTTACGAAGAGAAACTGACTTTCAAGAAATAAACAAACATCAATATCACTTTTTTTAAAAATATGATTATGTAAAACTTGTTTTCATATATTCGCATTTTACTTTCTTTAATACATATTAAGCATTCAGAACGAGTTTTTTTTTCACAAAAAAGTTTCTGATTTCTGTTCTATTTGCGATATAAAGAAGTAAAAAAAAAAAAAAGTATAGTTGTATCGCGTACTGTAATTTAAAAAAATTTATTGTTAATCAAAATCCAAAATCAATTGTACATACGTATTGAACCATCGAAACTATATATAAATTTGATTGAGTTTAAAAATGTAACTGATTTTTTGGTGATGCTTGGTTTGTGTATAATATTAGTTAGCTTGTATTCTATAGGCTAACTTTCTCGTAATTGAAGTATTCAGGATATTGCTTTATGATTGGTCATATGCGCAAACAGGTGACAATCAACCCATAAAATTTATGAAATTATATTTCAATTGCATCATACGTACCATATTTATTCTAACTTAATTAATATTTACACTTATATCATCGATCTTTAAAAAGTGCATTTTATTACGTCATATTAACAAGTTTTTGTCAGTAATTCGAAAAGGACCAGTTTGTACCAAGACCGAAAATCTAAGTGAACATTCCTAATAAAATCACTACCAACATAACATTATCGATATAACTATGACCAATATTTACTTCATCGACACAAAATAAAACATATCTAGATTAAAGTTACTTTTAAAACATAACAGACTAAACCGCACATTTCTATAAAGATAACATCCCACCCATAACAATAATCACAAAACTGAAAAATAAATATTATCGTTATATGATATCAGTTTTTTTAAACACGCAACTAGCTACTCCCTCTTTTAATCTAGATACCTCTCAATTATTACACCAAGTAAAATACATTTTGAACATCAATCTTCATCTACTGATCTACAACTAAAATATAGATAAAACAAAAACACCTTCAATTTTCCACAATAAAAGTATAAATAACTAATTAAACCCGATCCAAAAATAAAATCAAAATATTATAATAACAAAATTTAACATAATAATTATACATTCTTATCACTAGAAACAACGGGTCGGACGCTAGTAAAAATTAAAAGAACAATCGCTTATTTTTGAAAAGACTCATTTATCTTCCATGGAATCGCCTTAACAACCTAAAAAAAAATTTGCTAGCAAATCAGATTTCAAGATCAGGTGTTACGCATAAGAAACGCAAAAAAATCAAAAAATCTTCTATAACTCAATATTTTACATATGAAACCACTTCTGCGCATTAACAAAAAGTTTTCCTTGCGAAACTTTGGAATTAGAAAACTCTTTCTAACCTAAATTAATAACAAAACCTAACCTTAATCTTGCAGCGAAATTTTTTAGGTTGGTAAAGCTAGAACAGTTGTATAAGCCATTGCCCTACCCAAAGTGTAACCTTGCTTTACTCTAACCTTAAGCGAGGTTTACATTTTTTTCAATAAAAATCATTGTTACGTGGTTTGTAAATTACTATCCGTGTACAATACACTACATGTAAACTAAGAAATTTTCTTAAAAAAAAAATTATACTAAAACCAGGGCTTAAACGACCATAGTAATTTGCCGGCCATGCATAAGTTCCGTTCTTGATCTATAATATATTTAGAATTTAATTGGCTAAAAGCTAAAATAACAATTCAATGCACAATTAGCGTTATGAATAACAAAAGTTAGTTTATATACGTACATACTAATTTTGATGAATCAAAAAAGACACATTAAACAATAACCGTGGCGCAGTATATGGCCGGCAAATTAATATAGTCGTCTAAGCCCTGACAAACTATATTAAAAACTAAACAATGTAACACTAATCATAATTACTACATATCAACATGATCGAATTTTGTACATTTCTAACTGGTACGTAGTATATATTTATGATTCACATTTTTTAAATAATCAGGCATTAAAAAAATAATTTTAGCAAGTATCTGTATGCCGTAAATAACGATAATGAATATTGAAGTCATAGCTGAACTATAAAATTGTAATTTATAGTTACAGGATATAACCTAATTTAAATATAACAGATATTAAAAGTATCCGACACATGATACGTATACTTTTAATATATAATAAATAATAGATATAACGATAAATATAAGATCACATATATTTAAAAACTGGTTTAAACCCGATAATCCGATTTTATATATAATTACAAAATCAAATTTATAACCGATATATTTTTTATTTAAATTGAATTACCATTTTAATGTGATTCCAAACTCTACTTAACAAGTATTCGCGAATTATTAAGATATCATCGTTGTTGGATTAATTATGAGATCACCAATTTTTTGTCATTACTATGGTATTCTGAAGATAGCAACTATCAGAATCAGCAACGATATTGGAGCACCTGATTGATCTTGGACACCGTTACCAAGATTGAACATTCGCTAAAGGTTAAGAATCAGCTAAGACAGATCATGGTAAGAGAATATATAACCTCAGATATAGTAGGACAGACATCGAAAAGCGTGAACTTAAAGCACCCATCCATTATCAAAAACCAGTTAAATCAGTTGAGAGTTTAGATAGATTATATAAACGAAATATATGGAATCTTTGCGAGAAAAATCAAGTCACAAGATATACAATTTATTATTGTCAAGCACATGGATCAGATTACTATAATGAAATTGAAAATCAAAAGGGATATTGAAATTAGTATAATATCATACAAGGAGTTGAAAAGAAATATTTCAAACGTAAAGGGCTCACCACAAGTTCAATACCGATAGAGTGGGGTAACTTTTGTAATAGTGTCAATAATGTGAAAAGTTGAGATGTAGTGTTGGGAATTCCTTGAACATTTATAATAATATATGAATTATAACTTGACATTGATTTCAGACATATATATTTTTCGCTTTAGTCCAGCAAAAACATTCAAAGTTCTATTTCATGATAAGTCCTCTCACCGCTTCGTCTAACGCATTTGGACGATTCGTTGCACCAATGACTGCTATTTTATCTTGCAACCCGACATTTTTCTTATTGGAAATACCATCCATCAATACACTTCCTAGTTCATTGCAAGCCTGAGCCAAAAATTAATTAATAGATTCGCAATAAAAAAGATAATTACAAAAATATCTAAAGTTTGTTACCTCATCACTTTTTGGGCATAATGCGTCAATATCATCAAAAAAATAATAATACATAGTAATTGATGGTGTATACATTAAAAAAAAAAAATTCTCTTAGCTAATATAAGACTGTATCAATATTCATTCAAAGCATTCTAGAATTTAAGCTAATAATACCATTGACTAAAAAATTTTCATCAAATGAATGTAATCTAGTGATATTATGACTAAATAACGAATAATAAACGTCTCACCATAAAATGTTTGGCCCGATCACACATATTATATGTGCCCATTTTCTGATTCGACTGCACGTGCAATTAATTACCAGTTCCAGGAGGAACTTATAAGAGTATCCACTTTGGTGGTCGCAGCCAGCCTTAATGAAAAAAAAGGTTAGTAAATGTATTTTAAAATAATAATTATCTTACAATACTGCGTAAATAACTCAGGATTTCTTAATGAATTCTCAACCAATTTACGTACAATTCGAACTTGTTCAGACAGTCTTCCAATGCTATCACATCCGATCTTGTGAATTTTCATTGAGTCATCAACTCTCGTATTTTACTTAGTAACCAAAGAAATGGGTAATTTTTTTATAATGCTCATTCATAAGGTGAGGCTAAAAAATATGGTAGGATACATTTGAGTTATCAAACTATTCAATTATTCTCTTAATAAAAAAATAAAAAATTAGAACTTATAGTACAACCAGTGTAAGAATGTTCTGAGAAATTTAATTCAATTTTTTATTCAAAATTGACTTCAAACACTGAGTTTAACTGTATTGAACTAGGAACTATTCCTTTAGACTAGCAGTCCCAGCTTGCACTAAGTGTCGAACTAGAGTTCATCACTGTAGTCTAGCAGACCAGCTTGCACTAAGTGTCGAATTAGCAGTCCCATCTTGCACTAAGTGTCGAACTAACAGTTCATCACTGAAGTCTAGCAGACCAGCTTGCACTAAGTGTCGGACTAGCAGTTAGCGTGTCGGACTACAGTAGGACTAAATTCTTAACTCATTCCAAGGTTAGACTCAGATGAGCAGTTCAATACAGTCGTACTAGGTTCTTATTACTTAGTTCAGTAATAAATCTACTGAACCTTTTTTTTTTACGCGACATATTGACTCCAGAGTTTGAGTTCGCTACTTCTTCAAGCCTCTTCTTACGAAAGCAGTTCGTTACTGTTGGACTAAGTTCTTAACTCATTCCCATTTTAGACCCAGATGAGAAGTTCAATACAGTCGTACTAGGCTCTTATTACTTAGCTCAGTAATAAATGTACCTTCCAGTCATCAAAAATATCTTGAACCTTTTTTATTTTTTACGTGACATATTAACTATATTAAACTGAATGATTTTTTTTTTGTAAACTTATTCACGACGCGACTCATAGGACGACATTACCGTTACAGGTAGGATATCGTAAATTTTTGTCATGTGAAAATATCACATGTCGATTAACCAATAAAATCGTAAAGTAAAAAAGAATTAAAATTTATAGTTAAAGTTCAAAATAACTGCTACACGTCACTCTGGTTATATCGACAGCTGGATTAACTGACAATTGGTTATTCGACTCTTTTTATAAAAAATATTCTAATATGTAAAAAAAAATTTGGCTATACTGACAATCATAAGAATAACTATATTTTTAGTTATTTAAATTAATTATTTATACTGGTTATAATGACACAACTTAATATACTGACTGTCATTATAAGTATGCACCAATTAAATTGCTCACTTTTTTATATTGTTTACCTTAAATATTTAATTATTTGCTGATACATTTTTTGTATATTCTTCAATACTAATTAGTTTAATTCGAAAGATCAAAATAAGCTGCTATTGTAGGTTTTAATCTACTGCTTAAATTATTATTATCGTTATTATTATACGTTAATAAAAAATATTAACTATATGCCAACTAGCATAGTACTAACTATATTGAATCGAGATAATATATTTCCAGGACCATACTAAATTTAGAAGGTTATTAAATAATTGAAAGTAGTGATTTGTCAGTTAGCTGTAGTTAGGTTGGCTTCTGCTGTGGCTTTTTCAGTGCGGGCAGCATCTCTTTCTTGGATGTTGTTTAAGTGTAATCATAAAGATAAAAATAATGTTTACAGTTATAAATGCCTTTGGTGAAAAAAGTTTTGTGTAATAAATATTATGCAATTTATATAATAGAAATAGCTAAATACTAAATTGTAAAATATACTTTTGTGATGTAAAAATCTTTAATGAAATAATTACTAATTACAAGTAGCTTTAGATTAGATTCGAATTCATATAAATTATAATCCAATAACTTATTTATAAAAGGAACTTGATACTATTAAAGATACAAAAAAAAAAGAGAGTTAATAAAATAAGCCTATAATTAAACAAAAATCTAATTCAGAATTTTTAATCTTATAAATTCTTACCCAAATCCTAGTTATACTTTTAATAAATTGTCTTGTATGTACATTAGTGGAGTGTATATATATATTATAAATCATTTTCTGGTTCCATCTATTTTTTTTTATAAAACAATATAACAATATGTCTGATAATGAAACTAGTTTTACAAAATGTAAATCTAAAAAAAAAGTCAATTCCCAGTTATCTAAAAAACTTCAAAAAATTTAAATGGTAAATAAAAAAAAAGAATTATGTCAATTAGCAAAAAATAAACCTAATTTTATTCAACAAGAATTGACAAATAAATTTGGTAGTATTAGATGATCAACTGTTGCAAAAATTCTTTCACAAACATTATATTGGCTTGAATTAAATAAAAATGTGCATAATATAACAAAAACATAACTGATCACCTGATTATTCACAATTAGAACAAGCTCTTGTTTATTGGTTTGATCTTGTATTAGAAAGTAATATAACAATAACTAGTTTATTTTTGTAAGAAAAAGCTAAACAAATTGCAATAGCTTTGAAAATTGAAAAATTTAATGTATCTAATGGCTGATTACAAGGTTTTTTATTTTTAAGTTTAATAATTTTTTTTTTTTAGTGTTAAGGTGAGGCCTTGCTCATATCTTTATTAGTAATTTTAGTTGTACATATTAATATACTATATATTAAAGATATACTAAGATTGTAAAATACAAAATAAAAACTACATGCAAGAATTAAAGCTTAGACAACATTATCTGCAACCTAAACTGACTATAGTGGTCAAGGTCTACCTAGATTTGTAATGATATAATATGATTATAAGATGTGCTATGATTAATCCAAAGTGTCAACCATATATTAATTTTCCTAATAGCCTGTCCAATTGGTGGACAAGTATTAGGATGTAAGTGTAATTGATCTGCTATTTTACATAGACATGAGTATGTATAATTTGTATGTGATCTTTTGTAATGTCTAGTTTGTTGTATCTGTTATGAAGTATTGTGAGTATTATGAGTTTGAAGAGATATAATATTGTTATTCTTTTTCTAGTTAGAGAGGTTAATGCAGTATAGTTTCTATATTTAGTTGTAAATTTGATTATTAATATCAAGAAATGTTTGAATAATAAAATTTGTGAAGCTATTTTAGTTAGTATATTATAGTTATGAATTGTTTTAATTAAAGCTTTGGGTATAAGGCCTTTAAGAATAAGATCCAGATAGAAAAAGTTTGCATGAAATGGTATTCAATCAAAAAAAAAATGTTTTTGACCTTTTCGAATAAGTTTATAAAGTTGGCTAATAGATAAGTCAAGATCTGCTTTAGATAAAATATGCTGAATTGATGAATTAATAATGCTTATTATAAGAGAAAGGTTGAAACAAATTAGCCAGTATGAGTGAAAGTCAGAAAGGTTACATCAAAAGCAGTTAGTATTTGTAAAGATAGTTGGATAAATGTTGTGAAAAGAAAAGTATATTGGTAATTTATTCAGTAGAGCTTTGATTTTAAAGGCTTTGGATTAATTGAGTTTGAAACTAGTAAAGTTGGATGAGGGTTTTTGGTTATAATTAAGATATAGCCATGTTGATTGCCAGTCTATATAATGTTTAATATAAGACCATTCATTGTTTCTTTCTTGTAAAGATCACATTGCCAATATATGAGCTTTGCAAATATTTTTGATAAAGTATCAGATAGGAAGCTCAACAGGATTTTGT